GTTGGAATGAAATTTCTAGCTGATAAAATTATGGGACTTTTGGGTAATATTAATACTGTCGATTGTACTGGACTTTCTGTTGCTCTTCCTAGAAAACCACTGGCAACACTACCAGACTGGTTTATGGGGCTGGGTAATTGGAAACCAATGAGCAGTTCTTTGCCTCAGTCAACAACAGGGAATCGTGGTAGTGAACAGAAGGTAGGGGAGGTGGGAGAAGAGGCAGGGAAGGAGGAGAAGAGCACAGACACCAGATGCTAACCAAAAATATGAGTTACCTAGCAGCATAGAAAAACCCCTTCCTTAAGTCCTCAATCCTAGGACAGAAGTACACATTAAGTAAGCGCTCAAACCATCACCTATGTACAGAATATATATGTTTCTATATGTACATTACATATTTATAAAAGTTTGGATTTTGATCTGCCTCATTGTAGGAAGTTACTATAGTGAATGGGGGGAAATAGGCACATTTTGTGAGATGTCAATCAAATCTAAGTGATTGCTGTTATTGATGGATGCTGGGGATGTGCTTTGGGGAAATTGCATTACCCACACTCGAGCAAGTTTGTAGAGTCTTGATTGTAGGCCAAATTGGACTTAAAGTTGTTTATCTACACCACTTCCATCCTATAGAACTTTGATATAACAAGGATGGAAATAAAAGCATGGGTACAAAGACCTCAATACAAAAACAGGGACCTTTACCCAATCAGTCACTGCCACCTCTGAGCATGATACGCTAGGTTGAATATAGCAAATTATAATCTATTTTGCCACATTACTCCTTGGAGTATATCTTTAGTAACCTGATTAAACATTGGACTTGGACTTTCAACAATAGAAGGTTTATTTAGGAAGAACAAAATTAAAGGCAGCAAAGGAATGTGACTCTTCCTTGCCCAGTACTGAAATGAAATTAGAGGATCAACTCCAACCTTCTATTATTTATGAATCCTCTCACCAATACACCTGAAATTCAGTCTCAAGGTAATATATAGAAGTGACAAGGCAGTTGAACAGAATGGAAGCTTTTGTCCTTTAAGACCTTGTGATCTACTTTTTTCCCTATAGAAAGTAGAAGTCATAAGGAGAGGCTTGGGCCCATCCTGGAAGTATTAGCTCATGACATAAAGTCATCTAAGATTTGTTTTGATTACTGATCTCTCAGAAGTTATATTGAACTTTTTCAATATAGTAGATAAATGTATATGTGTGTGTATATATACATATATACACACACATACATATACTATGTATACCTATGTATATATGTATATACATATACATATATACATATATAGTGCCACTCTTTGACAGATCAAAAAAATCAATTAAGTATTTAGAAAATAAAATGTCTATGCTGTCCATCTACTTTGATGTAACATAACACACATGATCCAGTTATTTAAACATCAACACAAAACTGATAAATATCATTTTTACAGTTCCCATGAAAACCTAGGCAGTTTTTCAAACACTTCATTTTAAAACAATGAATTTATGAATTACATTGAAGACATTAAACATGTGAGTTACACAATGGGTTTACAGAAGAAGTTGACAATACAAAAGGAAAAAATTTATCAAAGATTTATCATAAACAAAAATTTAGTTGAAATAAAATACTGTAGCAAAAATTATTTGGCAAAACTTTATTTCTTCCATACTAGTAGAGAACAAATGTCCCCTTTCTACTCCAGTGATGACCCATGAGCCCTCTACATCATGTCTATCCTACTGAAGAACAAGGCCACCTATGTGGAAGTAGAAGAAAAATCAAAGCAAAATTTATTCTTCCACCCCTAAAACCTTACTACTGGCAATAATTTCATTTATATGACATGGGTTAAAAGCACATTAAAATGTGCTTATTTTCAGCACATTCTAGTGTTTCCTAAAATAAAATTTAGCTGGCATTAAAGAAAAAGGATTAGACAGTCAATTTAGTAACAGAGGCTTTCTAGTATGATAGCCAAGTATAGTTTTTGATTTTGTTCTTCCCTCCTCATGAAAATTTTCCTGTCCTGAATAACTATCCAAATTGGGGCTTTCATTTTTATGTCAGACTATTCTTTAATATCAGGTTATATTTATTTTCCAAGAGATGAATACTTCAATAAGAAAAAATTAAGTAAAGGAACCCTGAAGAATGTTGTTCTGACCACTACTAACTCATTGGCCAAATGTGTCAGGATAGTTCAGATGCAGAAATTAAAGATCAGAGTGGTAAAAATTTTTTACCAAATTGAAGATCACAGTACTCTCTGTAAGAAGTGGGGCCACATTCAGCCTCTCCATTACTCATGAGACACATTTTGCTATTGCTGAACATCATATGCAAGGGAAGCATTCATTTAAAAATGATTCATTTCTGTGGATCCATGAGTGAAACATACCTTTACAATTTTGTTGATGTTTTTATAATTGTTGAAATGAATAATAGAGATGTACTTATCAAAAATACTTAGCCTTGGGCACCTGGGTGGCTCAGTTAAGCGTCTGCCTTTGGCTCAGGTCATGATCCCAGGGTCCTGGGATAGAGCCCCGCATTGGCTCCCTGCTCAGCGGGAAGCCTGTTTCTCCCTCTCCTGCTCCCCCTGCTTGTGTTCCCTCTCTCACTGTGTCTCTGTCAAATAAATAAAATCTTAAAAAAAAAAATATTTAGTCTCATCCAATGGTATGTTAATTTTGAGGATCAGGGGTAAGACTTGGTAAAAATATACCCTTTTAGCCTAAAATCTAGAGAACTTTGCTCATGTCCTGAAGGTTAAACAAAAAGTACAAATCCCTCCTTTTTGCATTCGCCCTAAACACATCTAAAGCAGCGTAGATGGTCATCCTACCTGTATTGCTCGTGTGATCTTGGATGTGTATGATACAATCAGATTTATAGCAGATAAGGTACATGATCAAGCCACACTGTTTTTACAAATGTTTCTAGTCATTTAAATCAAAGTCAGTGTTTGGATATAAAATTTAGCATACAAGTTTCTTGGTGGAAAAAGCAAGATGAAGAGAAGGAAAGCAGGTTTGTTATAGCAGATGGAGTATGAATTTGCTCAGATGGACCCTGGAATGACCAATAAAGAGCAGAAGAGAAAAGTCAGAGGGAAGAGTAATTGGTCCTCTTCCATGTACTCAGAGATTGGAAAGGATTGGGTCACAGACCGCAGTGGCACCTTCTTTGACATTGCCTGCACAATGAATGTGCTCTTCATACTGAGTAAAGAAACGACCCAGTTGAATAAAGAATCCAGGGGGATAATTATTTTGTATATTTCCAGTAGGACCCATTACTGTACATCTCCCCGAAATGAAAGGGGTGATGAGACTAATTATGTGATACTATTCGTAGACTCCACACCTTAATTTCAGAGTTGGCTCTCCTACGATAGAAGTGTTGTTTCGTATCATGGCATGCATGCACAATAAGGAGAGCTAGAAGATGCTTATCAGTGAAATGACGTTCTTCTATCTTGTTCAAAAGCATGAGATGATATATTTACTATAGGTTATTAGAGATCCCGGCTCTGGATCTCCCAACATTTATTGCTAGCAATATTCCAGGTAGTTTGATGGAAAAGCTTCAGTGCTGCGGTGCTGAGATTTAACCAAACTGAAGCACTATTTTATCACATGGGGGACTCTTTCTCAACAACACAAGAAAGTTGAATAATATAGCAGTCATCATTTTACAAAGCACTTTGTGCTACTTTAAGCACCTCTTGTTCCAGAATTGCAAAAGCAAACAAACAAACCTTTATGAAAAAGCATTTAACCTCATTTTGCAGATGAGGAGACTGAGGCACAGAGAGGTTAAGTGACTGGGCCAAAGACACCTGGGTCAGCAGTAAAGAGGACAAAACGTGAGACCCCAGCATTCTAGGCTTCCTTGCCTATTCTTCAGTTCCTTTTCTGGCTTGGAAAATGCCAGTGCTAAAAACCAAACAATAAGATACGGAACTCACGTATGGAAGGATTTGCGTAGCATTTTGTAGGAGTTTCTGGCTCCCTACACACATTCTTTATGCATGGGAAATCTAGCCCTGTAAATAAAACCTTGACAATTTGAAAAATTGAGGCTGTTTTGTTATCTACAGTAAATGAGGTGTAAAATTTGCTTTTCAGGAACATTTATTGGCTCTCAGAGCTGAATCCAAGGCTCAGTATTACATAACTTAGGAAAAGTATCTGTCTTCTACTCGTCTCTGGTAGAAAACGACCTTCTTGGTAAATGTATGTTACTTCTATATAAAAAAAGTAGAGCTGTCTTTTTGCTGTCAGCTCTCTGGGGAAAAAAAATGTTACCAGTCTAAACGATAAGAGGTCAGAATGCTCTGGGCATATCAGGATACTTTAAAAAATCATCATAATTGTGTTGAGTATTCACATCTCTGTGGCAAACTCAACTGTTGGTAGTTTACTTTTCACCTCTATTGTCTTTTTATTCAAATCATATATTTATGCAGGCAATTTTAAGCAGCCATTTGAAAACCAGTATTTTGGAAACGGATTCAGAGATGCTCTCGGGCCCGTGTTCCCTAGAGATGTTAGCATTCTAAACAGAACCAAGTCAGGGAGCTTGTGATTTAGAGCATCATCTTCTTAATTTTCAGTATGACTGAGATCAGTCTGTTCGTGGAGAAAGGCAGATGTGACAGAAGGCCAAGGCAGCACCACATCTGCTTTGTTTCTTATGTTACATTCGCCGAGGTCCTCCGCCTTGTTGCCAGTTTCGTCAGGGGTCACCGTGATCCGCTTCTCCTCTGTCATCCGTGGAATGCATCCCACAAACCCCACCTCTCGCAGGAAAACAAACAGGAGGCTGCTTTCCTTCCCGTTCACATCGCAGTCGTCTCTGTTCCTGAGTTTTAGACAACAATAAAGACAAAAAGCAAATCCCTGTAGTAAGAAACCAGACTTTTCAAAGGAAACATTTTATTGTAAATAGCTCCTCATAGGTACTCCTCGTGCTTCATTCCCCCCCCGCCCTTGTTTTCCCGTTTGTTTTGATTTTTGGAAATGTTTATTTCAGGACTCCTGTTTCCACGGGGTGTGGTGTTACTTTAAAATGATCCCCCTGCACAGCAGGGGGAGAATGTCTCTTTGTAACTTTGGTTCCATGCCCAAGACACCTCTTTCCTCGATCTGCTGAAACTGTTTCCACTGCTGAACTTTTTCTTTACACAATATACGTCTATAGTTCTTTTCTTCTGGCTTGACATATACATGTTTCATTAAATGCAGCATATATTGTAGATTTTCAACAGGGTCATGTGGGAACTGTCAAGTAAGAAACCTTGAATAATGGCTTTAAAATGCACAGTTGTAGTCCTGGCTACAGGGTAGTTCTTAGTTTGTGATCTCCCTCTCACTGTTGTAAACATTTCTGCCATCTCTGAAGGTCTAGAAGCATTTGCCTTTCTGGGGTCTTATCCGTGTTTTCGGTTACTCTGTAAAATAGAGGGAAAAATTTTAAATCATCATTTCTGTCATTAGCTGAAACAGGAAAAAGTTCTTTTTTTAAAGAAAAAAAAATTATTCTTTACCACCTCTTTGGGCTCTACGATCTAATCCAAGTTACATAAATGAAGTCTCAAAGCGTAATTAATTTTAAGTGAGAAAAGTGAATGGTCTGTTTCAAGGGTTATATATGCATAAAAAGTGATGAACAGGTCTTATTTCATAATAAGCAGCCTGACGTATTAACAATTATCACTGTGGCCTTTTCTTCTGGGGCCTTCCAAGACAATACCTTAGAAGCTCAAATGAATGATCATACCCCCAAATATAAATATAAGATTATTTTAAAAGCAGGTCTGTCTATGCCCTTCAGTGACTTACTTTTATGTCATACTTCCTCCTCAACAATTGTATCCAGTGGCAGGTGGTCTCCACCCTGAGGTCCTGACCTGGGGATTCCCTGGGGAATTATGCCATACGGGTTTCTTAATTGGCTCCAGAGATGTTCTTGAAAAGGTACTTCCCCGGACTATACCAGTTAGGATTCCTAGCCCTATTCCTCTTTAAGTCTCTGTGTCTGAGTTTTCACTTGGTTAGAAGTTAAGGATGTAATACTCTCTTCCCCCAAAAAGCCAGCGATGGCACAAAGGACGAGCTATCACGCGCTGCTCAAAGACATGGCCTTTAGAGCCTGAATAACATGGATGGAGAAAACTGGGATTTCCATTTTCTCACTGCATGTCCAAGGACAAATTATTTCAATTCTCTCAGCCTTCATTTCTCCATCTGTAAAACAAAAATACTAATTCTGTAGCAGGACTTTACTGGTGCCCCAGAAATAGTGATCAAGATCCAAAGTGGTGGGAGGCGATGCAGTTAGTACCCCAGGGAAGTTTCCAATCCACCAACCAGAGGTAAATGAAAGATTCAAAAGAATTCCTGCCATAAGCACCAGTCAGAAATATTTGGAATTCATATTTGCAGAGCCACTTTGCACCTAGAGACTAGATTAGACATGAATGAAAGAGTGATAGGGTCCCAGAGGAGGACCAGTGGGAAGTACAGTGGGTGAGATGTAGGAGGGAGAGACTGTTGGTACCTGCACAAATGAGACTCACATTCTAGTGCTCAAACACAGAGCAATGCTCACCTATTGCGCATCTTCCTCTGTCTATCGGGGCAGAGACAGGGGCAGGAGCTTCCTTCCCAGCAAGATGCTGTGGCTGGGAGCACCAGTGCTGAGATCCAGAGTCGCAGTGGAAGAGCTCGGGTCTCAGCCAGTCAGGGAATACTGCTGTGGGCACACCCTGCACAGCTTTTGAAGAACTCACATATATGTTCCCTCAAATGGCCAGTCTTTCATCAGCTCTCATAGAAAGGACATCAAGAACTGGTAACAGCCAGAGAAACAGCATCAACCACCAGGGAGAGAGTCACAACCACTGTCAGTGCAGTTGAGAGGCATGTACCCTTTTCCCTCTACCTCTTCCCTGCCCTCCAGGAGAACCGAGCTTTGAAGAGCGAAGAGGGAGAGATCTCTTAGAGCCAGATCATGAACCTGCCCTATACCTGGAGTAGGGAAGAAATGAGATTAGACAGAATCTGAGGTTGAATTTTAAAACTGAGCTAGACTTTCAAGAACTGGAAAACTGGGGAACCAGCTTAAGATTTATTAAAGAAGAAGAGAGGAAAATTAGAACCCGAGTGAAAGCCATGTTTTGAGAAAAACAGATTGTGTTCATATTAGCATCCCACTGAGATGAGAGCCCCAAACAACTAGTTACAACTGTAATACTCCCCTATTCCCTGGTAGAGAAGAGAATTTATCTTAATGTATGTAAAAGATACTTTAAGGTGTGTGTGTATATATATACACATACAAATACATACAGTGTATGTGTGCTTGTATGGATAAAATAAATAAGTAAACACAGAAAGTCTGTTGCTTGCAAACTTTCAATTTACACATTGTCAGAGATAAATCTTAAATTCTGTTTCAAAGCACATATGCATCATTTCTGCCTGTCACAACTGAGATAAAGCCCATCATTTGAGTAAAACAACATTGGTTTAAAAAAAACAAATGGATGTATAGGCAGTCTCCCAGAATATTAAATTTCTGTACATTGAGTATCTGTAAAGGAACTTGGGGCAGAGCCACATTTATTCAAACGGGCATTCTGAATAGCTGAAGCCCCATCCAATGGGCCACCATCGATGACCAATTTTCAGTGAATCAAAGGTCAGTACACTGTAACTAAAACTGTAGAGAATATACATTCATCTTTGATTGACAAGGCCCTTGGGATAGGACAGAACCTCAGGGATTCCTATGAGTGGGTTGCTTAATGTCACTGAGCTTTAGTTTCCTCCCCTGTCAAATAGCGATTGCAGCTACCATTTCTGAGTTTACGACATGTCACCAGACCGAAAGCGAATGAGCACAGTGATGTCACTTCTGACTTGTGACTCTAGCATCCAAGTACCCGCCACATTGCCTGGTTCATGGATGACACTTAGCTAATATGAGTTGGGTTCAATGGACAGGCTACTTATGTTCACTATTCTTTAGGGTTTTCTAACTGCTAGAAGTTAGTTTAGATCCTTTATGGGCCACATATTTAGAAGCATATTGATTCAAACTGTAGCTACCTCCTAATCCCTAGTTATCATAAATAACCCTGTAAAGGGTACCATGACCCAACCAACTGTACCATCCAGACCCCTAGGGGCCTTCCTGACACCTTTCGTTTTGTCAACCCTCATATACAATTTATCATATAGTAAAATATTCAATGAAGTATAGCTCTTATTATTACCTCCATCTTACAGATGAGGAAACCGACCCTGTTAGGTAGTCGGCCTATGAGAATCCTAGTGGGAAAAACAGATAATAGTGAATGAAACATAACTGAAGTCAGAGGATCAGAGGAGGCTTCCCTGAGTCCCTGATTTTACACTGAAATGGGTAGGACAAATGGATATTAACTAGTTGATGGTTGTGTGGGAAATGTGGTCAAAGTAGATAGCAGTACATCTCATAAAATGCATGATCCAAGACAGAATGCTTAGTATGTCCTAGGAACTCGGCTTTTAATGAGTCTTTCTACATGCCAGGTACTATACTGGTTGCTTTACTTATATAATGTCACTTAATCCGTAGAAAAATAGTAGATGCTATTACTTGCTAATTTTTTTATATTAAGATATTAATATTTATAGAGGTATAATAGTATCTATTTTGTAGGATCTCTCTAACTATTAAATAAAATAATAGATAGGAAATGCACTCGTTCAACCACAAAACAGATGTCTTCTTTCTCTTCTTTACCATAAATCGTAACTATCATTAAGAAGTATTTATGGATTGTCAAGTACAAGCTGGGCACTATCTGGGTATTTGGGTTACAGGATGAAGAAAACATGTATGGTCCTGGCCCTTGTGAACCTATATACAATGAGGAATACAGGCATTAATTAACAAAAACAACAACAACAACCAAAACAACCCAAACGCATGTAAAATTTGGCCGGGAGTGAAATCAAGGAAGACTTGCCTGCGGGAGTCATACGTGAGCTGGGATCTGAAGGATGAGTGAGTAGGTGTTTGCTAGATAAAGTAGGGCTAAAAGCACTGTGTGCACAAGGACTGCGTGGGCAAACCCCTGCGGTAGGCAGAAGGGACTAAGGCTCATCAAAGGAGCTTCTAGAGCAAGAGAAAGCCCGAGAGATTGTCTGCAGTTAGACCACACCAGGTCTGTTTGGCCACATTAAGGGAATGGGATTTCACTCTAATGATGATGCTTTCCCAGGCAGGGGGCATGGTTAGATTTGTGTTTCCTAAAACTCACTCAGCGGCTGTGTGAAGAGTCAATTATGAGTGTCTAGAGGAGAAGCACTGAGCCAGGTGAGTAGGACAATACTACCAAGGAGTTGGGGGAGAATGTATTTGTTCATGTATTCTTTCCTTTGTTCACTCATTCTTAAAGTTATTCCCCAATGACACATAAAGAACAAATGAAAATAGCCATCGTGGTATTACAGTCCCATGCTATCCAGGGCTCTGATCTAACATGTCACAAATCTGCTTTCTCAGTCATTTACCCAACCATTTACTCATTTGTCTACCCTTCAGTCCATCTGTCAACTTAAAATGTATTCAAGATTTTATTTATTTATGTTGACAGAGAGAGGCACAGTGAGAGAGGGAACACAAGCAGGGGGAGTGGGAGAGGGAGAAGCAGGCTCCCCGTGGAGCAGGGAGCCCGATGCGGGGCTCAATCCCAGGACCCTAGGACCATGACCTGAGCTGAAGGCAGACGCTTAACGACTGAGCCACCCAGGCGCCCAACTTAAAATGTATTCAGCACCTAGTATATATAAGGCACTGTTGTAGACCTTGAAGATACAAAGTTATATAAAGCATAAGCCCTACTCTATGCTTTCTTAATAGTCTAATGTATAAAACATGGAGGGAAACAATCTCAATATGACTAGATGAAGACTAATAAATGTATCTACATAAAGAAAGACTGATTAGGGGTGCCTGGGTGGCTCAGTTGGTTAAGCGTCTGCCTTGGGCTCAGGTCATGATCCCGGGGTCCTGGGATCGAGCCCCACACTGGGCTCCCTGCTCAGTGAGAAGTCTGCTTCTCCCTCTCTCTCTGCCCATCCCCTGCTTGTACTCTCTCTCTCAAACAAATAAATCTTAAAAAAAAAGGAAAGAAAAACGGATTAACTGACATATTATGAGTCATCTTATCTATTTCTCTTACCAATATAAAAGAATAAGGAACAAAAATCTTCATTTTAAACAATAAATATAGTAGAGTCATATTACCATTTGTTTTCCACAGGCCACCCACAGGCCTTGGCAGGAGGGATTGAAAAAATATAAATGTAATAAGAAATAAACATTTGCATATTTTAATGGAGATTTTGTAACTAATCAACTATAGCTGGTTTTTTTTTTAAGATTTTATTTATTTAT